TTGAACCAAGTAGCCCTTGCTCAGTATCACTAGCAAGGTTTGAAGGCCGGTAACTGCAGTCCTAACAACATGCAAATGCCCCAGGCACAAAGTGATGGCCCTTTTTATGATTTTTTTTCGGATTGGATGCCCAATAACGTTGAAACATGACATGCTCTTGAAAACCTGCTCCACTTCCGGAATCTGTGTCCACCCACCAGCTATCTGCCTAAAATGGGATAGCAATGACATTTTTCTAGCTGATGGATTCCCCTAACTCATTAATAAGACCCTCTTTTTAAACTGACTGGTAGACTTATACGTTTGTCTCCAGGTCTCAGGCCTGGGATTCCTTCTATCTTCTTGAGTCAGAGACCAAATCCCTGGAGAGCCAGGCAAGTGAAAAGCAGATGCTGGGGACATGGAAAAAGAGGAAATGGCAGTATGGTGCCTGTTTTAAAATACCCACTATGGGGCTATTCATGAGTACTGAAGCAGTTTAGCATTGTTTTGCTTTGCTACATTTTTCCCCCCCCTGTGCTTTTACCCCTGTAACATGAACTGCTCTACATTAGGAATTGTCATGATGCTTATTTGGCTTTGTGAAGTATTCAAGCAAGAGGCAATGCTGTTTCCGAGACACGGAGAGGTGTTTTTTTTTTTTAATGCACTCACCTCTTAAATTACTGTGTTGAGCTCATTGGCATTCTGACGTTAACTTCGTAGTGATAACAGCGAAGGATAGTGCACCTTTAAATGACGAGCTTTGTGTTTAATTACCCAAATCAAATGACATAAATATGAATGAGCGCTAATGGTGGTACTTGGTTTTTCCGGAAACCATTAACAAAACGATTCTTAAATGATTTGTAAAGAAAATGAGAGGAGAAAAGAGGAGCGAGAAGGCTATTAGGCATCTAACACACTCCTGAATTATTATATAGTCAACTACCTAGCAAATACCAGGCTAAATGATCTCTGCAAAAAAAAAAAGGTGATTTGTGGCTGAGGCTTTTCATGGTTGTAGACACCTTGACCTGTTGTGTTATGCTCACTTCTAGTAAAATGGGGGTTAGGTGTCTTGGTTGGTTATGGACTCAAGACTAGTTAGAAGACTGACAACGTGCTATAGTGACATGTTCAGTTTCTCTTAGACTTCCAGTAGGTGCCATCACGATCCTCTAGTCTGACCTCCTGCACATCACAGGCAACAGAACTTCACCCATCCACTCCTGTCATAGACCCGTAATCTCTGGCTGAGTTACTGAAGGCCTCAAATAATGATTTAAGGACATCAAATTGCAGACAATCCACCATTTACTCCAGTTCAAACCAGTGACCTATGCCCCATGCTAAACAGGAAGGTGAAAACTCTCCAGGATCTCTGCCAATCTGACCTGGGGAAAAATTCCTTTCCCTTGTAAACTGCCCCAAACAACTGCTGCTTTGACTGGGTAGCGTGTGGGTAATAAAGGAGTTGGGTTTTGTAAGTACCAAGTCTATTGGACGAGCCTTTCTTTAACAAAAAAAAATAGAAAAGTAAAACTGTTGTGGTTTTTCAGTGGCGATGAGGAGTAGCTAAATGCAGACGCCAAGGTCTTGCAGGGAGCTAATGGAATACACTTTGGGTATCGCTTTGTGACTATTTCCCATATCACCAAACCATTCCATAATCGGGTAGAGCAGATGCTCTGCTCCAGAGAAGCCAAGTGCCAGAATACTGTGGGTTGCACTAGCCCCTTGTAGGAGACTCTCACTTTCTTCTAAACTTGCTGGAACTTTAAATATAACTAAAAAAAAACATGCAACCCCTCCCCACTTAGCACTAAATATAGCAGATGGTGCCTTATATCAGTAAGAGCAGGTTTGCCTCCTTGTGTATAGGGGATGATGGATGTGTGACCAATAGTTGTGCTAGACAGATCCTGTTGCTGAAAGCTCCAGGGAATGGGCCCTGATCGTCAAATAGAGATGGTATGAAGAGGTTTTTGGAAATTGTGGGTAAAGTTTGTCATTCCATTGCCTCGTGAGAAAGAGGAGGTCACCAGCCCGCTGAGCAGAGGCACCTGTTAGAGTAAATAACCCACAGCGCTAAGTGTTTTAAACTGTGGAGCTACTGTCTCCATGGTTTCCATTTAATCACATGTTAAGGAAGGAGATACAGAACAAGTACATCATTCTCTGACTTCTGCTAATTGTTAGTTGCATTCCATAGTCATAAAAGTTAACTGCCCCAGGAAATCACAAAGGATCTTCTTGCCTAATATTTTACCCACCGTTGCCAGTAATTGCTAATTAAATTTCAGAAATGGTAGCGTTGGGAGCAGGCTAGTGCAATCTGTCAATGGAAGTTCCATAGGACCCCAGTGCACATTCTGGAACCATTTCAGCGACACTTGCTGTTTGTTTGCAGGCGTACTTATGGGATAACAATAAGGATCTAGTGGAGTGGTTAGAAAAACAGCTAACAGAAGAAGACGGCATTCGCTCAGTTGTGGATGAAAACATCAAATACATCTCCAGAGACTACATCCTCAAACAAATACGCAGGTAAGCCAACTACTGATTTCCCACGACGAGGCAGAGCTCTGGGACTTAATCCTCACCCACCACTTTAGTAAGTAAAAAAGCTCCCTCTAATTTCAATGGTGGGCTGTGTCTACATGAGGGCTTTTTTCCCTAAAATTTTCCACTCTTGCTAACCGTTGCAGCTCTGAGGGTGTTATAGCAATGACAGTATTAATGCAGAGGACTACTGTCCTCTAACCCTTCTCGGACGAGGTCTGGAGATCCTGCAGTGGGAAATTTGGGGTCAGGGAGCCCTAGTATAGGCAATAAGACCAAAGCAACTAGAATTTGGCCATCAAGGTCTCAATCCATCCTGGTAATTATATGGCCCTCCTCACTACAGTTTCAGAACACCAGTGAATTTGTGAGGTTTTTAAATAAAGGGACAGGGTGAGGTTGAAATCAAGTTTTGTTTTATTTTTTAAATAAATGCATTTAGCTTTAGTAAAAGCCCTCAGATTGTTAAAACTGAGCGAGTTTTAGAAATCGAACCTAAAACGTTTTTACTTGCATTCCTATCAAGTTGATTGGATCCAAAACGTAAACGTGACATTGTTTTTACAATACATTTTTAGTGTTGGTATCATTTGAGTTCAAGGTGCCTGTAGTCCATGAAAGCCACTCAGCTCAAAGGCCCTGCTTCAGCCCCACTGACATTAAGAGCACACTTGGCTGAAACCCCGTAAATCGGGTTAATATGTGTGGTGTTCCCCATCTTCGTACAAATATAGGAAAGTTAAAGTGGTTCCATGCTCTGCATTCATGTGAGTGGGTAGTGAGGAAAGCTCTCTGAGCTACACTACCCCCATCGTCTCCCGTTGGCAGATTTTTGGTAGGGTACAGTGTTGCTGCAGGCCGTCTAGGATTTCTTCTGTCTCTCCGTCTCACCCAAAGGATGAGTTCTCTGTTCCCTTCCACTGCTCAAGTACAATAGTACAGAATATGCTTTCTGCACCCCGTCTTTTCTCTGCGGAAACTGGACCCAGCGTCCACTGTCCCTTTGTTCTGATTAATTTTCAAAGATCATGCAGCAGGACACAGTGCGCAGTGTAATCCAAATGTCAACACTATTTTCTCTCTTGTTAGGTACCAAAATGCAGTTTTATTATAGACTGGAACGCCTCTAAAGTCTTGCAGCCTTTCCCCAAAACACATAGTTAGAGGGGAATGTGAGGTAACAAATAGTGAGTGCACATGAAATGACTGTGAGATAGAGACAGACAGCTCTTTAAATCACGTTCTGATATTTCTGGAAAAGAGAAGGTACCCTTATGAGAAGCCTTCTGGATCAGGGAGCGTGATGCTCGCATCCTCCTCTTTACAATCTTTGACACTGCCCTGAGTTTACTCTTAGGAGACACTTCCTCTTCAAAATGCCTTTTGCACAACAATCAGGGAGAGTCCCACCCCCTCTGGCATCCACAACTCCCTTATGCGGCGGTGCTAGAACTGTGCATTGCTTGGTGCTGAGACACTGTCCTCTTAGTTAATCTAAGATCTGCTTGAGCACAGTTCATAATGAACCTCTTGCTGGCTTGTCCAGACACTTTTAAATCTACTTCAGTTACCCTTTAGAGCAGGGAATGAGAGCGGGTGAAAATGTTTGGGCTTAGAGAAATTTAGCCAGCTGAGTACAGCCCAGTGTGCAAACTCCGTCAAGTTGGGCGAGGAGGAAGGGGCTAGCGGTGGGGGTGAGATGGGTGCTGTTGCTAACCCTCTGGTCTTTCCAGCTTGGTGCAGGCCAATCCTGAGGTTGCCATGGATTCCATCGTCCACATGACCCAGCATATATCCCCTACCCAGCGAGCGGAGATAGTGCGTATTCTTTCAACAATGGACTCGCCTCCTTCAACATAAGAGGATCCTTTGTCTGCTCAGTTGTGACCCCTGTACTGAGAAGAGGAAGCAAAAAGAAGGATGGTATTTTTAATTTTTAAAATCAGACTGACCGGAGGGAGCACGCTCTCTGGCCCCAAAGACATAAGGAAAACAAACTGCTGAAGAATTAACTTATGGATGTCTAACTGTACCTTATTTATTTAACAAAGTGACTGGACCAATGCATCAGCTAGCTGTCTGGCTGCCCTCTGAAAGCAGTAGGAAAAGACAATGAAGGGTACCCTGGTACCATGAGGTCTTAGAGCCGCAAAGTAGGGGCTTTCTTACACTATGCCCCTCTCCCCCTGCATCGTTCTAGTCCTTCCCCTCCCCAAATCTGGTGATGGTGGTCTTGTTTCAGTAGACGAATGTGCCAGGAGCATCAGGAAGTAAGAGGCACTTGCTGCACCAGTGGAGTGCTGGCTGGTCAAGGGTTTGTTAAACACACACGGGACGATACTAGAAAGAAATGGGAAAATGGTGTTCGTGGTTTTGTTACAGTGGGGAGGAGCTAATCCTGCCCTCTCCTCTCCGATGGTCACAGGTTTCACTACATGTCAGTCTTGGTTGTTTACTTAGTACTTGTTGTTTCAGTATTTTCATTCCAGGGGCTAGACTGCAGGCTTTCATGGTCTCAGATAGGGCAGAGATGAAGTAGTAGCCTGTAAAAAGAAAAATACTTAGGTCACAATTATTACTGTTCCTGTCATAAACTGGATACTAGATGTATGGCAAACGTTGGCTTTTTCTATCATATGGGTTAATTCCAATCCCACCGAACTCTGGTCCCCTCTCTCGTGTGGCTGCAGAACGATATTTATATTCTATCTGCACGTTCACAGGCTGTAGTTAAGGTTGAGTTGGCAATTCCGTTACTTATTCATTCTGTCTCACCTAGTGTAGGGAGCAAACTCTCCTTCCATAAAGATGGGAGAAAGTGGCACTAGTTAGTCACAGAAATACTGAAATTAAAACCAGCTTGCTGTCTCTTAACAATTTTTTGTACTTTTGTTACCGAAAGTGATGTTTTTAAAACAAAAAATTCACCTGCTCAGGCTCTCGTGTGGACAGAGGCATTTCGGCGCTCGGTAGAAAAATGGGAGTCTGGGTAATATTTGTAAAGAAGCCTCTTTTTTTTGCATGTGTTGTAACTTCCCCCCCCCCCCTTAAATGTGTGGGAGTTCTCCATCCATGTACTGAGGTGCTAACTACTATCCCCCATGGACTCGATTGCTGTTACGGTAATAGCACCAGCTATCAATCAATACTACACTACAACAAACCACAGTCACCTGGTTGGTAGGTACAGAATCCACATCAACAAATTAGGTCTGTTATTTTCTTTCTTGTCTACACCACCAAATAACGAATACGTATATCTATTGTTCATGTGACAGACTGACATGGCTAAGTGGGCTGCACTTTATCCCTAAACTTTCTTGGAAAGTTTTTTTTTAAAGGAGGAGTTAAGTTTTACACAAAACTATGTCACTGACCAGATCAGAATCATTCAAGGAAAATGTAAACCTGAAATTCCCAGAAACATTATGTCTGCTAAATTCGTTCTGCATACATATTGTTAAACAGAGAGGCCTAGTAAGAATTTAATCAGTGGGAGTTCTGCACAAGGATTTTAAAGTGCTTTAGCAGCTAGGTTGATTTTTTCCCCCAAAAAACAAGGCTGTAGTTTTTACTGAGGGGTCCTGGTGGTGACCCCCCTCAGTAAAACCACAACATCTAGTCTTAATTATTTTCATAAGACATAGGTATCGATGTGAAAAGTTGTATCAAAGCAGTCACATCACTGAGGGCTTGTCTATACTTACCCGAGGGTGGCGAGTGATGCATCAGCGGTCGATTTAGAGGGTCTTCATTAAACCCACTAAATCGACTGCCAATCGTTCTCCCGTTGACTCCTGTACTTCACCTGATCAAGAAGAGTAAGGGGAGTTGACGTCATGTGGTGTGGGCCCCACTATGTAGACAAGGCCTAATTGTCTGATTGCCTACAAGTTTTCTTTTCATAATAGAAAATCTGAAGTAACATGTTTCTCCAGAAACATGTTTTAAAATTAACAGTATCAAATGTAATACATTATAATTGATCTATTTAAATTTAGAGTGACTGTTTGTCCCATAGCTACTGTCAAACAATATTAGAGTGATGCTGCTACAGTATTATCACGTCCCAGCAGTGTCAGAAACGGGTGCAAACCATAACAGGTAGGGTAGTATTAGCAAGCTTAGTTTTTGCTAAAACTAAAAATCAACACTCAACTTTGAAGCAGCCGTTGTGCAAAGGTGGTGTTGCCCAGACCCTCCCTCTTAACCATCCCAAAGACATGAACCCTTTGTCAGGGCCAGTGAACAGCTCCAAGTGCAGCCAGATGTGTGATTTGTAGCACATGTAAGCTTTAATCTAGCTAGAGGGCTAAAAAGAGCTTATATTCCTGCTGCTACTTTTAGCAAGACAATACAGGTGTGTCTACATAAGCTGCATCTGACCCCACCCCACCTGCAATGACGACAGAGCCTTCCACAGTGAACACAAATTCTCTCAACTACACCTGAACCAGTACGGATTTACGGTTGTAGCAAGACTTCGTTGGTGAAGCTCTCACACATAAACCTTTCACCAAGAGTTACTTAGTGGGGAGCCCTGAAATTCAATCTGCTTGTGTTACTGGCACTCTGATGGACTTAGCAACCCTATAAAAAGAGCTGTACGTACCGTAATCAGTTGAATCCACCCATTCTCACGCATTAAAAACATTTCTCTCGTAGAGGATTCTGGAGCCTTTACGGGGTCTCACTGCTAAGTTGCTCATTGCTCCATCAGTGTTGAGATATTAAAATAAGAGCCCCCCCCTTTAAGAGATTAGGGAGAAGCACTTTTCCATCCCACCCACTCATAGACAAGCTAGTGCAGCTTTGAGGAGCCTTGAAAATGTTTGACTCAAAGTACATAAGCGGAAGATGCTTGTAAGCATTACAACGCTAGGGTGCTTCAGTGCTGATCTTTATACAGGTTAGCGTATGAGGTAAAGCTGTTAAAAGTTAGCACATGCTGGTCTAGAAGCTGGTTATCTCTTCCATTCTGACCCTAAAAGGCTAGTGCCTTCCTTCCAACTCTCCCTGACTAGGAGATTTTGACAAGCAGCCGGACGCAAATTATTGAAAGGGGTAAGGGGCTGGTTTTGGCTTAATTGTCCTTTGAATGAAATGAGCAATTCATAAAAAACCGACCTTGGTTTAATAGTAAATGCTTCCAACCTGCAAACAACCCTACTATTGTCTTAATTAAACTTGAAGCATCACATAAAAGCCACTTGTGAGGAGCTAGGCACAGACCTTGCCCAGCTTCAAGCTCCACTTTTCACGTTGAGTGGGACAGCCAGTCAACCCAGAGGCTAAGACCTTCTAGTAACACTACCAGAAAACCAAGCACACTGTACATGCTAAGTCCTGCTGTATGTCTTTAGTTGCTGTACTGTGCAGTTGGGAAAGGAGGCACCCTGAGTAAAAACCAAACCATGGCCATGTTACTGCTGGACATCTATGGTACTTGCTGATTTATTTCACTTACCTCAAGTTTCTTTTAATAAAAAGAATCCGTTTAAGACTATTTTCATGGCTACAAGTGGAACCATGTATTCTGTATGTGGGGGTTTTGGTAAGCGCTCCCTCTTTTAGCTCTAACTTAAATGTAATGGAGGCGGTTGCTAATGCACTGAGACTTTTATGTAGAAGACACTAAAGGTGATATTGCATCACATTGTTAATGGCTGTAAGGATGGGACCAAACACCAGATCGAAACATCCTTGAATTCTGATGAAGTTCAGATACAGACGTGACCCTGCCGCTCAAGATGGACTGAACCAAAATAGCTCAAGCGCTTGGGTAAATTCACATGTAGAGCTGAACTTCGAGATTCAGGCCCATCACTTCAAGAGCCTGGGCTGCTTATTCTGCTAATGGGCTTGCGTGGCCACCCCTTTCACTCAAGCTCCACAGATCGCCCAGCTTTAAAATGTGTGCTAAGTCTGGGAAGTTCATGCTTAAGCCTGCGCTATGTGACACTTAAAAGCACAAGTATTTTCACCTGTTCTCGTAAGTTGCCAGCCCTTTTCTTCATTTCATCCCCTTTGTAACTTCTCACGCCATGAAGCCAAAGGCTTAATTTGTCGCATCGATCGTTCCCATGATGTCAAACAGTTCTAAAATGTGGATGCAGGAAAATCTGAGTTCTGAAATAGAAAAGTGTTTATAGTCAAACACAAATATACTCAGTGGAATATAAATCAAGGCAACATCCAGCACATTAACATTCTTGCCTTCTTGTTACAACACACAGGAGCTGATACTCCTCCATCAACACCATCGGCCTGGCTTTGAGAATGATTGAACATTTCCCAGCGAAGCAGAAGGGGAATGAAATCGCACCTTGCTTTAATTTCACTGTTCGTTTTCATATTCAGTTCCGAACAGTCTTCACCCCACTGGTTTGTGGCAAGCTACCGAATAGATGCTTTGAAGTGCTAGGAGTGATTCCTGTTCTAGATTTAAATCAATCTAGTGTTTTCCAGTTCTTGAAGCCTGTGTCTGTATTGGCAAACTAAGGGCAGAACTGTCAAGTCCACATGTGTCTGCTCTCACTGCAGACAGAGATAACGCAGTGAGTGGTGTACACCCACTATGCAGACCCATGAACAGTTTGACTATAAATTTATTTCTTTTGGCATTCTGAACCGTGACCCAGCTCCTATATTAGATATGCATTCACAGAAACTCCCACCCAGAGCTTCCGAAATTGAATTGCAAGTACAGCTAATTTAAATGTTTCCCCCCGCCAGTTAAGTTACCAACATAAATCCAATACAGACTTCACCCCACACAGGTTTTTAAAAAGCTCCACCTCTAATTAATGGTAAGTATTTAACACAATTTCAAACTAAAATGTATCAAGCCGGCAAACACAAAACCCAGCAGTTCCAGTTATTTTCATGCATTTCTTGAACCAGAATCCTGAGGGTTAAAGACATAAATCACCCTAACAAACATAATAAAATTTAGAGGGGAAAAAACCTATTGAACTCCAGCAATGCATTTAAAACTCTTTAGCCTAAAATATCTACATATTAAAATGCCAAGAAAAGTACCAAAGCTGTAAGCTTTCAAAAGCCCGAGATCAAAGCGCTAATATCATCTTTTAATTTAAACCTTGTGTTGCATCAACAGTCTTAAGAGGGATGAGAGAGATCAAAACAAAAACTGAAACAAACTGTGGCTTTGTAGCTGTTTTTGTTTTAGTCTCTTCTCTCAATTTGGGCCACGAAATAGGTCAGCTCCATTACTGATCAGCCGTCCCACAAATATTTAAAACAAATTGAATTGCACACCCAATACCCATCACAATTACGCCAGGCACAATAACTAAATTAGCAATTCAACAAAATAATTGGAAATGCGATTCTCTCTATTCCACAGGCTCCCTCGGGGGTTTAGCCGATCTATGGGGGGAAAACTCCGCTTTACTAATTCTGCAGCTAATTAGAGACACACTTGTAAATGAAGTTGTTTGTCTGAAACTTGAAATTCTCTGCTGGGGGAGAGGAATAATTCAGACCCCCCCAAACACACACACACACCTAGCTGATCTGCAAGGTTTTTAAAAGGGTATAATGCACATACAGCTAGGAACTAATCAGCAGATATATCAGGAATTAATATTCTGTTGGGAAAAATCTTACTCGCTGATAACTGGCAGTATTAGGAAAACTTAGTAGAAACCATTCTGGTATCACTGTCCTTACAAATAACCATTTACACCTTTTGACCGTAAGATAGTCCTGCAATGAGAGCGGGAGCATTTTCTGCTAACTCTCCACACTACCCTGGCTACCATTCTGTAGAGACGGGGAGTCTATGACTAGCCACAGCCAGGTAGACAATGGTTCACCAGCTGTTAGCAAGCATTGTTGTAGAGAGCAGGACTCGGAAGCCTGGCTCCCCTTCGATTTGCTGTGTGACCATGACCTGCTCACTTGATTTGTTTGTGCATCGGTGTAATCCTCTGTAAACTAGACCTCGTACTCACCTGTCCCACAGGACTAATGGTGGGCATAATTAGTGTGCAAACTCTGAAGCCTGATACAAGCTCAGCATTACCACCACCACCCTAGTGAGTAAAAGGAAAATGGGATTGGTAAAAGTTGCCTACAGACACAGACTTCTACAACCGCCAATATAGCCTGACCCTGGCAAACAGATTTACTGAATTCCTTTTCCAATTAAACGCGTGCCCCACAAGAATCATGCTCTACACAGCATTGGGCAGCCAACATTAGCCCAATCCTGGAATGGAAATCAGGACTGAATATTTAATAGAACGGCAGTGGCTGGGGTAGGTTTCTATTAAGGTTTGAATTTTGCAGGCCCATAGAGTCTGTGTTTAGGGGAGACCCAGGAAAAAAAAGACTCCTCGGTTACAACATGGAATTTACAGCCCAAACTGAATTCCAGAACTTTGAGGTACTTACTGAGCCGATGAAACACTTTAATTTGCCCTTTTTTGCTGTCGGAATAAGCTTTGCGTCCTGGCTGGTCTCTGCAGTAATTCACATTGACCACAATAACACCTCCTAGCGAGGGCAGAGCTGATTAACTGCAGGCTGCCCTACCACTGGACTCAGCCAAGTAACCACTCGAGACACTCCTGTAGATGGCTCTGATTAGCCCCTACTCAAGAATTACACAGGCTGCGTTTCTCCTGCCAGCATATTCAAATCCTGGAAACGTACCATTTTCACATCAGGACTAAAGAACTGACCTTACCAGCAAGGTTAGCAGATGAAACGGGGTCCTTGCAGGCTAAACCCTGCTTTCTAAGGTTCCCTTGATATATCACACTAACCAGGTAGGGGGGAAGAAAAAGCCTGCTTAAATGCTGATAAGTAAATTCAAAAGCATCCTTAGTAGGGCTTTGAATCACTCTTATCTCTTCAAACAATATGAACCAGAAGTTATCACATTTAAAGTGTTTCATGTGACCCTTTTAACATTACCTCCAGCTCTTCAAACCAAGTGCTGCAGCTACAACTTTAAAGGACACAGGAGTCAAACTGAAAAGGAATTTTAAACTGGGCATGTACAGTCAGTTCCCTCAAGGCAAAGCAACATAATCCTACGCCGAGAAGAGACGCCGGCCAACTTGTTGGAGCAGTAAACCCCAATGTAGGATACGCGCGCCTGGCTTCCTTTGAAACATCCTTAATGTTTGCTCTGAGTGCGTAAGCGGCGTGAAACCATTCCGCCGACGCCAACTCGGGAAGCGGCTAATTTCCTCCACTTGATGTCCTTCGGAATTGTGGCAATTAAACCATGAGATTTTTGGTAATGATGCTGGCAGACCACGTGTCAGAGGCTTTTAGCTGTTCAGAAGATAAGTGCTGGTATTGTTCAACATGCGGGGGAAATACTTCTGCAGTGTCAGCCCATGGTCTTGCTGGTGTGTCGGGGTGGGGGGGAATAAACCAGACCTGCTGCTGTGTTGGCTTATGACCAATGCTTGGGATAAGGAATGATGTGGAGGAGTTCATTGCATCACCCACAGCAGACTGTTACACTGTAAGACAGATCACAGTGACCGGCTATGGCTACTTTTGCAGCCTGTAGTTTTAGGACCGTCAGGCATGCTCTGATCAGTAGGCTACATTTCCTTCTACTGAACATTAGCCTGTTAATTGACACGATATTGCTCAACACACTATTACACTGAAGCCTGCTTCCATAAAGCCAGCTTTCCCTCTCTGCTCACTGTGACCTACATGTGCTGTAATGCTTCTCCTCTTCCTCCCCCTCCTCCTAAGACACAATACAAATATAGAGGCTTTGTCCACCCCCCACCCCCCCGACAGCACTAGTTAAGTAGCACTACTTACCCTTGATTCTTTGTGGCTGGATTTCGCCACTCAGCCAGCCAGCTCTCCCTGCAATGTACGAGGGCATGAGACTGTTGCAAACTTCACAGCATAAGGTCATTATTTGGATCCAAGAGCAACAGTGACATTTGCTGCGTTTCTGCCTGGCAAATTTTGACCAGTCAGAGCCCTGGAAAGATAGGAGAGAAAAAAAATCAATGTGCTTCTGTGCTACCTACGACTTGCTTTGCTGCAAGTGGACATAACGGTTTATTCATCCACGCTACATACATTTTGTAAGACAAAGTCAATGCTCATCTTGACACTGATATTTTATAAACCCAAGAAAAATGTTATATTTTCTACAGGGGACAGGAACCGTCCCCCGCCCACTGATCAAGAGGGCCACAGCTGGACCGTGGCCAGCAAGCAACACACTCATCAGTTCAGCACTGGCATTTCCGTATTGTTATGCGGCCATGTTACTGTCCTACAATACACTGCTACCCTCTCTTATTGCTGTTGCTGTGATGCTAGACAAATCTTGGGTGCCTAGTGCCAAGGAGAGTGGGGCCAGCTTATTTCTGAGTTAGCTGAACAATGGAGCTAATGTCTATGGCCCGGCTGCAACGCATCGTAAAGGTGAATCTTGGGAACACTCTGCCCTAGTTTACTTAAAGCTAAGAACTGAGCCATTTTCTGATTCCATATTGGTTATAAGATCAGTTTGATGCAACTGAATCTATTCGTGTTCTGCGTTTAACCAAAATAGACGTGCCTTTACCCTGTAACTAAGAGACTGAGTATTCAATCGCCTGGATTTTCAATCAGCCTCCAGTATGAACTTGAAAAAAAGAAAATATTTTGCTTACTGGTAACTTTCTGTTCTTCGTGTTCCTTGATACTGGGGCATAGAGTTTGGATCACGCCATCCTAGCGTTCCTAGCAAAATAAAATAAGTCAACTCCACACAAAAGGAAAGGGATGCTTCATTCTTCATTAAAAAAAGCCTCTGAATTCAGTCTTGATAACAGTTCTGAACTCATTTAAAAATCAGCATTAGCCCCACACACAAAAATAAAGTATTAGATTTTATTAAAATGCAAATCAATCAACTAATCTGTCTTTCAGGTAACAGTTGAATAGCAGGATCCGTGTCAATTAAAATAGTTTCCAATTTATTCTTTGCTGGCAGGAGGGTGGTATCCTGAATTCTAAAACCGCCTTGTATGATTATGTATTTTATACCATCTCTGCTGTCTCATACCTTTCATATGTTCTAGCTAATTAAGCCTATTTTCTCTAAATATTTTGGAGTAACTGATATTTCAGTGTCATGCAGGGTGTACCAATAGTGGGGGGAAATCCAATACGTCCATAAATTCTGGCGTATTGTCATATTTATAGAAGCCAGTATTAATGTCTTTCATCCACCTGATTAGGTGACCACAAGTAAACATATTCTGTATAAAATACCCAAGGAGGTTATGTTATAACCAAAGCTGAAATAGCTCCTGCTGAGATGTACTAGTTTATAACTGGCCTGATTTCCAGCTCCCAACAGCTGCCACTCGGGTAAAATCAGGCCACTTATTTAGGAACCTGCAGGTCGGCATTTTTGAACATTTTGGCCAGTGCTTTCACCCAACCCCCACTGGATGAACATTCAGAAGTTCCAAAGAAGGGAACACTTTTTATAATCCTTGTCTTATTACAGACAAATGTCAAAGCAAAACAGACCGTTTTAAATGATCGAATAAACATGCAAAAAAAAAAATGACGTACCTTTACATTTTTGTAGAAGTGCTTTGAAATTCCTCAAGATAAAAAGCACCATGCACATGTTATTAATTGTCCTTATTAATTTACCACATACTACAGCAAGCCAAAGAACTGAGATAAGTTCTCAAATTCAGCTGGAGAATATATCACTAGCATTGCAATCTTCTTTGTTAGGATCACCTCGTCAATGCATCAAGATGTGACTAATGATTCAATGCTTCTCTACCAATTAAAATGGCTGTGGGAGCCAGGACTCAGCTCACCAACTGATCTTGTGTCAGTGGCCTCTTCATTTCTCAGTTAGGCCACCTGTGAAATGGCTAGAACAATGCTTACCTCCCTTTAGGGATGTCATGAGATTTAAGCAATGGTCGCAGAACTCTTCAAGATCCTGACATGACAGATGCTCTGTAAATGTAATTTGAATGAACCAAAAGAATACAGACTCCTTTGTTGTGCATTAAAATAAGTAACAGGTTAAAGACTTTAAAAAAAAAAAAACATTGAAGAGAGTTGCTTAATTAAACTAGCATATATCCCTCAAATCCACATTCAGACACACCAGATGCATTCACTGCACTGTCAACACTTGGTTAGTCAATGTACAGGCTATTTTAATCAGATTAGTTAAAGAACAAAACAGAGCCAATGTAGTTAAACAAGTCAGTGCAATGGCCATCTCGCTGTTATACTACAAACATATGCACACATTATTTATGCAAGATAATCTTCATCTGAGATTGGTCACAGCAGGCTAATAAATCCCCCTTATGGGGATTTAATTTTCAGCTTTTGACCTTCCGATGTAAAAAAACAAGTGAATCATCTCCTCTTGCCAGATTTACACCGGTGCTAACCTCTGTCGAAAGTGTGTCACTAGTGGAGAGAAACGGACGAGGCCTCAAAGCATCCTGATCAGCAAAAATAATGGTGTTCGCGATCAATGCTGAACTGAAAATTCACAAACATTTTCCAATTGCAAAAATATCCCTGGTCATGCGCGTGCATTCAGCTGGGAGCCGTTCCATGACTGACCTTTTATGCACAATAAGCAGTGCTTTTGGAAGCCCAGGAGTTTGGACTCTTTGGAATTCACGCAACCCATGGATGGGGAGCGCCTTTTTCCAGCCATGTTAATGGCATTTTAGCCATCGGCTCAGTCAATGCACAGCTGCGGCATTCGAAAATACTGCTGCAGAACCGTGCATTGCAAACGAAGGGTCAGGAAGTTGGTTTAACACAAACGTAGGTCCCCATTCTGCAGTATGATCTGCTTAAACAGCCACCTTCGGAGCCCGCCTAATTTCAGTGGGATTCTAGACAGGCGTAAGGGTCTACTTGTGTGGATAAGATTTCACGATCAGGACCACAAATACAAGATGATCAAAAAGGGAAGGGTATTGTATGTTCTTTAATTGGCAGGGACAGATTCTAAACTGAATTGCAAAAAATATATGGGGGTGCCCTCTTGCCAGGCTACATTTCCTTCTTAACTCTGATTCGATACTGCACAATTCAGCTATGGCGTCTGCATGAAATAAAATAATCCTCAGCAAATTACAAGACATCCTAACAGACAAGACAATACACACTTTCTGAGTGAACTTAAAAGGGAAGGGTGCTGGCGCTTCCCTGGACAGGACATTATCCACTTCACGCCGGTCTTGAAATCCAAGTTGTGGGCTACCGCATGGCTAAAAGCTCTCTCAGTGAACCCCACTGCGGCCATCACTAAGTGAACCACGGGAGTAGAGCTCTGAGCTACAAACTGCCCCGTATCCAACGGGCCAGATGTGACAACGTGGCGGCAGCTTCCGGCAGCACAGAGGCAAGAGTCCAAATGCACACGAAGGATTCCACTGGGCTTTAGCCAAACGCAGAGAACAAAAGTAAGTGTCTGTGCATATGTTTTCCTTCTGCAAAGGCTTGATGCTAATTCTGCTTGGGTTCTTCGGGATGCGTGATTTTGCCAAACAACGATCGATAAAGCTCCGTCCTGGGAAAAAGGGAGGAAGGGGGGGAGGAGAGTAACTTTTCAAGGTCAAATTGGAAGCAAGAGGCAGGCAGCGCTACCATCCGCCGCTTCAAATGAAAAGGCCGTCGTATAATTAAAAATGCATACAACAATCTTTATTAATAAATACAAGTGTAGCGAAGAACATGCGTAAGACCAATCACATGCAGTACAGAAATATGTAAATATTTCAGTGTGGCTGGATACCATCTCTCTAGGGAATGAGGTTTTCTATAAGTTTGCCCTTTACAGACAGCCTCTTCAAGTAAGAAAACAAGATTGAATATTTTAATAGGCTGTATGAGAATGCAATGCCATAAGGAGGATTCAATCAGACAGCCTATGTGGGACTATAATTTAGTTTTCATACATTTTCTTGGATTTGACGGTACTTGAAAAACAATGAAAATGACCCAGCAACAAGATTCCAATTAATATCACATATGCAGCAGTTCTGATAAGAGAAGCGAGTTTCCCTTTAAAAATCACCATATCATAGGCTGGTTTTCTTTCTTTATTTTTAAGCTTAATACCTAAGTAGTCAGGGAAGGTGTGTGTGAGGGGGGAATTTATTTACAAACTTCAGCTGCAAAACAGAAATTCAAGTGGTCATGGCAATCTAGAGAACCCTTAAGGAAAAAGCATTCGGACGGGGCTACATTCTGAGCTCCCAGTTGCACTCAAAGTAGAGAGGACACAGAAATACGGCAGGTAAAACTCACAGAAGAGAAACTACCGCCTTGCCGGTGCTGCTAACGTCGTCTAGGATTATTAAACCAAAGAATTTTAAATAAAATCAGAGGTGACGATCACCCAAAACTCAGTGAGGCCAGCAGCTGTTCAGCCATGATTTCACTGGGATTTGGGGTGGAGAGGGACCCTTTTCTGTCTAGTTAATTAATTAATGAGAGAGATGAAATTCAGACCTGGACTAAGATTTGGGCCTGTGTTTATTAAATATGTAAGTTGTTTCCTAAGAAATATTGTGCACATGCACATCGCACCCTAGACTATTATGAATGATACATTTATACAGTAGACAGAGACTTATCGGCTGCAGAGGAAAGCACTTATTTGTATGCCCTATCCCCTTCATGTGATTTCTCCATTTAGACTGGAACTGCCTAGATCTGTGTACACTTGCAGTATTAGCACTAAGGGGCAGCAGTCTTAACAGCGGCCTCTAGGTGCTACCGGAATATAAAAAGAGATTATTGTTAATATTGTGACACACTTACAGTGTGTATATAATTTTGTACACACACACACACACACACACACACACACACGTATTACAATAAACAGCACGTACCCAAACACGACCCGAAAGAATGG